CTACTTTCATAATCTCAGTGGGAAAACGGGATCGAAATCAATGATGCCGTTTTTTTGGTTATCCAGAATAAATGATAAAAAAAAATAAACACTACTTCTTCTACACAATACATTTTCTGGAATATGGAACTGTTGGCGGACCACTGCAAACGCGCAGTGTCTCGATGTATGTGCTACATTATGTTGCCTCTATAGCGAACTTAGTGAAAAAATTTATTTGACAATTCTAGACGATTACATATCTGTTGAGAAAAATCAGAATTTTCAGTGATTTTTGTAATAAAAGTCTTAAGATTTTATGCGAATGTATTTGTTACTCCTGTTTGGTTTGCGATAATATTAGCAACGATATATTTTTTTTTCATAAATAGTAGATACGAATGGATAAAAAATTTTTTTTTATTGTTTAAAATAAAACAATAAGTTTAACGTATTTTTCCACTGTATTATGTTAACATGTAAATAAGTCACTTTGACTTTGAACCACGGTATTTACCCCCATTTTTTCATAATCGTTCCCCCTCTGGTAAAATACAGCACACATTGTAAAACCTACGGACAGAACAATATAATTGTTGTTATTGTCGCCATAATATCTGTAACAGCAACAATACGTTTTACGAGCAGCACCAACAACTAGTTGACACAATAAAGGATTCCCTTCGGCTGATAATGTTGGCTCAAATGAGGTACTACAATTCTCCTTTTTAAGCACTGAAAAAATTGTTTAAAACTATTTTAATAAATTTTATTAATTAATAAAATTAGTTAAAATATATAGCTAATTATCTTTTTATCTAATATCTTATCTTTAATCTATCTATTTTGAGGTTTCAAAAGTTAACCTCAATAAAAAACTCTTGCTGTTCAGTTTTCGATTAAATTTTTATATTAATATATCATTTGGATTTAAGCAATAGATGTTAAATGCAATAATATATAAGTATCATCCATGGCACTAGATAGATCATCTACTGATCTACTAGATCATTTTGAGTTGCTCTGTCATGATTTCTCGGTAAATTGCAGCAGTATCTCCGCTATAATTTGACGATTGTACGTTTCTAAGGCGTCGACAGTCTTAGGTTTGCTTGTATAAATATACGTTCCTTTTTTAAACCATATAATTATTATTTATGGATTTTTACTCCGTCACTAATTGAGATGTGACAATTTCGTTTGTTAACATAGTCACAAAGTAAAAAATTTAAGCTTGCCTATAAAGTATATTGAATAAAAATATTATTACCATTTCTGTAGCAAGATTTCAAAACTTAAACATGTTCAGTGATTGTTAAACGACAATATTGTAAAATGGCAAAATGGCAAACTTCAAGCCATCGTATGCTGCCAAACCAAGCTTATGAAAAGGGTAACCCTTTATTTGAGTGTTGGACTCTATTAAAGTGGATAACTTCAACTAATTTAAGTAATACTTGACAATTATATATTTTATTTATATTTTATTTATAATAATATTTATATTATTATATTTGCTATCAAAAGGTTTTTTAACGCAAATAAATTCCTGAATTACAATAAATAAAACAAACAACCAAATTTTATATTGATTTGAAATTAAATAGCTTGGGTTGGGTAATATTAACAGGGCATTTGTTAATAGAAATATCAATATTAGATGAATTTAAGGAAATTGATTAAGTTCACTTTCGTTATTTCTATAAAGATCACTGAAGAAACGGTTTCCTATACATTGAAGTTGCGTTGCTTACAGATTTGAACAAAAATGTAGAAAGTGATTGCTTGCTTTCCCTTCCCTCTCCTCAATATGTTGATAAATACTGCACAAACCATTTATCGGAATATGGTAAGTCATCGCTGAAAGATTTATATTAAAAAATTGAAGTACCTTCTTTACGAACTATAGGAATCTAATCTGTATTGCTTTCTTCTATGTTACTCCGAAATAATTTATCCTAACTACATTCAACAAAATGTAGGAAAAAACTTATGCAGAGTCCTTAGAATGATTCAGTGATTGCATTTTGAACCTAAGTGGAATTAACGGGACAACCAATACCAATACACTACTATCCCTTGCCTATGTCTTAATGTTTTCTATATAAGATGAAATAAAACGCCTATAAGCTTAAGACGAAAACTTACTTTTATTAGCCCTATGTGGTCAGCTTTTGCGATGAAACCTCATCTTCCATTCGCATTTCATGAAGAAACCAGTAAAGCTGCTGGACATTAATTCATTGATTACTTGTATTATAATACAAGCAAGCAATTTTATGAATACAGTGATTAGAAATCAAGTCTTTATTTATAATATTTCACATAAGTAATCTTCTTTAAGTCTAATCGAATTTAAGCTATAAAGAGCAAAATGGTTTTCAAAGTCTTTCAATCGACAAATTAATACTGAAAATGCTTATACAGAGTTTTCTTTAGAATATTCTAACCTGAAGGAGTATATCTATTCATCAGATTACAATTAAAATTTGGAATTTATTTTATGCGACACTTACTTTTTCACTACATTTTTATTTTTGTGACAATTTAGGTGAACAAAACTATAATATTCACAAAAAAGAATGAAAATGATATTGGCAACAATAACGATGTTGTTTTGTGTAATATGGCAATTTCTTTCTATGCTAAATGGATAGTACGATGCAGTACGCTTTCCATTATAAGTGAATAATCAAAAAAGGCATATTATTTTACATTTACTACATACTTGTCTTTAAAATCATTTAAGTCAGGGCTGTCCAGACCAGATAAGTTCGCGGGACAATACAAAACACTGAATAGGTTGGAGGACCGCAGAAATAAATACATATGTTCATAATTTTTCAGAGAAAAATAAAAATACGGCAATAATGATAAATTTACTTTTATTATCTTTTTATTAATTTATCTTATACAATTCTAACACTATCAGCATTATTAATGTTAGTTGTTGCCATACAAAAAATTATTTTTAATTTAGTTAATTAACCATAGTAAAGTTTGAGTGGAATAAATAATTAGAAACATTTTAATTCATTTATTTGAGATACCATAAAAAGAAATATATAACCAATATATTAACAGTGGTTTACCAATATATAACAAAGAAAAATTTGCCTAATTGTGTTAGATTAGAAATTTGTCGCAGACTGCACTGCGCTTAAGTGAAAAAACCTATTAAAACGCGCACAAAATAAGGATATTTGCAACAACAACGATGTTGTTTTGTGTACTATGTAAATTTACTTGCATGGCCAGGGGATAGTGCGACATATTTAACTGTTAGTTATGATTGAATAAATTAAAATTGCTATTTTGTAACTTCAAATTATTTTTAACATAACTATTTATGAGAATGGTGTGTCAATAAGAAGATAAGATCACCTTTCAAGAAGTGTTAAGAAAATATTTGTTCAAGGTATGTAAGCAGATAGCTATCTGAAGAGATAGATTGTAGACTCTGCTTAGAGGCAGAGGAGACAACCAGCCACATTCTATGTGACTGCCCAGCTTTGATCTGGGCCAGGAGGAAATCACTGGGTCGGGAATTGCTTTCGCCTTCCGACATTAGGAAGTCCTCAACAACCGACATTTTGATCTTCATTCGAAAGGCGGAATGTCTTTTGTTCAGTTAGGGTCTGTTGTAGCACAAAAGATCAATCATGGTCGCAGTGCTCTGCTCAAATGGGAGCTAGTACCCTGTTATTTCCTATTCCTATTCCTATATGTAAGCAGATAGTGTTACGAAATTTTTCTTTAATGTAATCGTCATCACTCAGTTAAAAAAATTTAAAATGCTTTCCAAAACATCATCGTTATAATAATTAATATTTGATAATTAAAGTAATTTGCTATATTTAGCAGGACTATATCTATAATAATTTTGAAAAAGATAATAGCAAGGACTTCAGATGCTTGTTTAAAATATTTAAAATAGTTCAAAGCAAAATTTTATTTTATAGTTTGCTTTTCGGAATGTACTGTTCTACTTCATCTACTTCAAAGTTAATTGGCTTATATTTCACAAGTTTTATGAAAATAGTTCTGCATAATAGTTGCAGTGCCTTTATCTCCGATTATAGCGCACGTACTCAACTTCTGCTATTCCCACATTCTGTTGCTACATCAAGGAAGGAATGCTTTGATACTGTTGCAACCACAAATATTGCCATAGCACACAATGCAGTGTAAGTAGGTAAATAACATGCTCATCCCTAAATCCTTACGCATGTTGCTCTGTAAATTTACAGATCCTTCCATGTACGAGTATGACAACATGTGCCGTACACACATTTGGATTGTCCTTCAAATACTCTCCACTGTAGTATCCATTGTAGGGATATTCCTATTCATTGTCGCATAAAAATTCGCTAATTTTCGCGCGCGCGCTTTTATTTTGCTTGTGTGCTTAAATGCTTAAATGCTTATAAGTGTGAGTGTTCAGTAGTGGTAGTCTGCATTTGTAGTGGTAAAAAATGTTGGCGTAACCACGCTTTATCTAGCTTCGGTCTATTTTGTTTGCTAGGGAAGCTGTTGTGGCATCACATTGTTGTTGTTCTTTTTGCTGCTGTTGCTGTTGCTGTTGCTGTTGGTGCCATTGTTGACGTTAGTGCTGTGGGGTTTTCGGTCGGTTCTCCAGTTGTTATTGTTGCTGGCCAAGAATAATGAAAAGCGTTCGAAGCAAGGAATTTGGCGTTGAGATTTTTGGGTATAAAAACACATGTAAGCGAAGGATTTGATTCAAATCTCAAAAGTTATCCTAGACAAGCACACAGTTATTTAATAACAAAAATACAAGTGAAGTTAATTCCAAGTTATTATTAATAAATGGCAAACATTTTTTAACTTACATTGGCAGAAGGCAATTGCATCAAAGTTTTCTAAATTTAATAGAAGTGAATATTATCTAACGTCCAATAAAATATCAGTTGTGCAGTTGTGCTTTTTAAAGAATAATTTCTTACTAACAAACTAATTTATTGAAAATAATTAATAAATAATTTTAAAGAATTAATTAATTTAAAAATATTGGAAGAAGTGAATTTGCCTGTAAGTTTTCTCTTCACAGCTTATTTTTTTTTTTTATTAATAAAAACTTTTAAGTTTTTTCAATATAATCAATAATCTATTTTTAAACTTTAAAATATTATAATAACTTTTAATAGTTTAAAAACTGCATAAATTAATATGCACGTCTTTAGATCTAAGATAACTACCAGGATTATTTTTAAATAAAATCTAACAATATTTATGAAAAAATACTAGTTTACAAGTTTATGATTCTATATTGATAGTGATAATAGTTAATAAAAGCTTATGACGTACTTGCCGTGATATTTGCTTAATTTCGTTATCTGTGTCTTACTAATTACTTCATATGTGACTTGAAACTGCTATTTATTCTTAAAATCTGGAAAGAAACTAATAAAATAATTAATTAGTAATAATTTTGGCTAGTGAGAATACTTTACTTTTTTATTTAATTTTAATTGTTATATTAAAATTATAACTCAGTTATTATAATTCAATTTTATGCTTTATCGTACTGATACGTTTGTAGACTATCAATTTATTCATTAAGGATTAAAATTTAACTAATTTAATTATATATTAAATCAATAGAAATAAATAATTACTTTATTTAACGAAGTACTACGTTTAAGGTTTTATAAGCGCGGCGTCATTTGCTTTGGTTCCATGACAGATAACAAATCTGTTATGAAATTATTATCTGTTTATTATGTTAATAAAAAATATTTAGTGTTTTTAAGGCATTCATATTAAACTTGCAATTATGCATAACTAATTTCATATACACTAATTGTCACACACTGCTTTGTGCAATTCTAAAAATAATTCATAAAAAAAACTGACTTGATTAGAGGTTTTACGTATGGTATAAGTTCAGACTAGGCTAAGCTGGCTAACTAAAAGCCACTTATCAATATTTGTTAAAATGAAATACTATGGTTAAATGTTGCTAAAAATTTTATATTAAATGTACTTACTACTTACGACCTGCCGTAGTATTTATATTAGATATACTTTTTTAATTAAAAAAAAAGCTCGTAACTTGATTTGATCAGGTATTTTATAGACATATAGAATTTTAAATTTAGATTAAAAGTTAGTAAAATATGAGTCCAGGTTCTCTATGTCACAGTTTTAGTACGCGGTCTATATAATATGGTCAATAAATATGTAGTTCTTGAAATATGTAGTGCTTTCTGAAAACATGTTTTCTATAGGTTGGTTTCTCTTTCATGTTCTGATTCTGCTTTAACATTGAGTATCGAAGCCATACAACTTATTTTCTGTTATTTGGATGAGAGACCCTTGTCCCATATTTATAGTACTTTATTAAAAAACATGTAGTAAATGATTATAACAAAAATTTTAATAATAAATATAAGCTCTTGCATCTATTACTAAGTTTAAGTGTGACATTTGGAAAGATGTTTATAGAGATATTGGCTACATTAGATAGCAATCACTTGTTAAGTGATACTATTTCTCTGTTGGCACACTAGTCTTTAAATGCAGTTCTAGAACTTGATGCAACTACATTCGAAATTGATTTTTTTTTAGTAAATAGAGGTGAAAAAAAATTTAGAAAAGGGTTAAAGGGATTGACTTTATCATGTAACCGTCTTAGAAAACAACTACCTAGAATTATTATTTATATCGATATTATTATAATGTTTATCAAATGGTTTAGTTAATGATTTTATCATATATTTAAATTAATTTCAGTTTTTGTTTAGAAAGAAGTTAAGGTTTCTTCGTGTTATATGAGCGTAGGAGATTCACTTCGTCTTTGGATGTTCTGGATGAGTCGGATGTGATGTTATCTTTTTAAGTTTATATTTTGAAAACTTTATATAGTTTTGTTAGCGTATTTGCAATGTTAAGCAAAATATGATTTTTTAAAAAAAGATTTTGTTAAGATAGGATAAATAAAAACAATAAATTTGTCCAACTTCCGAGTTTCTTTTCCTAACTTTTGCATATTTTTTTTACTGAATATTAAGTCGAAAGTCACATCTAAATATTTGGTCACAATGAGGATTAAGAATAAATAGAATATTGTAGTGAACAACGACTGTGTAAAATATTTTATGTTGTACAATATATATAAACCAAATAAACTTGAAAACTAATAAATCAAAAAAGCCTGACAATTTTAACAAAGAAAGTAGACACTCGTATTTGTGATCTATAGACTAATAAAATAATGTCATCTGTAATAGTACTAAACATGACATGGAGTAGTGAAGGTATTGTGAAAGAACACTGATGGTATCAGTGGAATCTAAGATGGTGCACAGAAATAATAAAAACCAATTGTTAAAAGTTACTATATCCGTAAGACAATCCTAACTGAAAGATGAAGCTGAGTTAGGCACGTTGACTGTTGGTAAGGGCTGTTATACTTCTAATATCATTGTATAATAAGTTAACTCCACTGGTTTTTGATTTGTGATAATAATCAATTATAACTTGCAATTCGTAAAACTATTCACAAAAAGTTAAATATAGAAAATATTTACAAAAGAAACACTGATGATGGGTATTTGGCAAAATCTGTGTGATTACAGTATACAGTCAGCCAAAAATTCAATTAATTAAAAATAATTAAAATTAATTAAATTAAAATTAATTATAATAAAAATAAAGAATTATTTTGTTGTTGCATTAACGTTTATCTGATTTTTTGTCAGGTAATAAATAATAATATCTTTAATATTATCCTTAATATTATTTACTATAATATAAATTTGAATAATTTAAAATCACATTGAATCCTTGAAGTATTTGTATATCACAATTTTTCGATTTTAATGTTAAGGCTTTAAACCCCACTATTCCATTGAAGTAAGTATCTGACCATAAGTTTGAGGTTAGTTGTTGATTATTTGAACCACAGAAAACTTGCGTTATCGATGAAATTTGAAATTTGACCAAATTTGTATAGCAATATGGATTTTTGAATGATTATCCAAAATTAAGCACAATAAATAAATGGTCCATCATTTTATGGACAGTTTCTTTATTTTGTTATTTTTTTTAAAGAGGTTTTTCGAACAATAGTGAACTACAACAACAAAAATTTATTTTTTATATTATTTTAATTAATTGAATTTTTGGCTAACCATACAGCTGTTTCGAGTATTGCCAAATACCCATCATCAGTGGTCTTGGAAATAATTCTTGTATTTAATTATTCGTAAATAATAATTTTTTGAGACTGCAAGTACCAGGAATCGAACTCGGCTCCTGCCGAATGTGAAGCTCAAAATCAGCGCTTCTTAACCAACTAATCGAAAGCCGTACTTGACTTTTTATGTTCGCATATTTTTCTGGAGTTTTGTTACTTTTACTATGAAAGTTTTCATTAACAATTTTACTTGCTGTGTTTATATTAGAACGAAATCATAAACCATCTATAGTAATTGAATTAATTAATTAATTATATTTTTATATTTTTAATTGTTAAATTTTTTTTAAAATTAATTTATTTCAATTTGGCATTTTTTCAACTACTGAAATTTATTCGATATGGTAATAATGTAATTATGCTTATAGTTTATAAATTTAAATTGCTATATAACTTTAATTATAAAATAAAATATTATTTAAATTATTATTAAATTTATTAGTTTAGTCTTTTATCAGATAGCTAATATCTATTCTATTTGGTTAATATTATTACAGCAGCAGTTTGGTTTTTTATATGATATGATATATATATATGTATTGCTGAACATTTAAATGATGAATAAAAATACAAATGAGTAATATTGGAAAATTATTACCAACAAATATTAAGTTAAGACCAAACTGAATCAAAATTCACTGAAAAAAAAATTTCGGTACCCATACCAAGAGTATCTGATATGGTACCCATACCATCCTCTAATCAGGAAAATTAATTTTATATTCAATTATTAAAGTTCTTCAAGGTTTTTTTATAAAAAAAATATTAAAAATTTATTTGTATAAATTTAATAAAAAAGAAAATCATGTTGCAAATAGCTATAAGTGCATGATTTTTCTACTATTTATTACGCACATAATTTTTTTATGATGAAATGTTGCATTTGCAATGAACACTTGTTGCACATCCTGTCCTAGTCACAATGCGCATGAGGACATAATTGATGAGTCCTTGCGCCATTTCAAAGAATAGAATACATATGTGACTTCAGATACAAACTATCAAGGGTATCATAAACAATGCTAAGTCCTTCAAAAGTGGTTTAGTTATTTTATGAGCTAACAATTTTATGATTAATAGCATTGTAAGTAGAACGCAAACATAAATTAAATAAAAAATTACTATAAATAATATATTAAATTGCATTTCAGCGTCAATTATGACGGCAGTAACTATTCAACTTAATAGAATCTATTGTATTTAATAGAGAGTTTTCAAACAGTAACAACATTTTTTTTGTTATTTTAATTAATTGAATTCGAGTGTTGCCAAGTTATCATCATCAGTGGTTTTGGAATTATTTATTGTATATAATTATTCATATATAATTTTTTTTGAATTCGTACCCTGCCAAATTTGAAGCTCAGAGTCAGTGTTGATTAGCCAAATGACCCAAAAGCGTACTGGACTTATATGTTTGAACTTGTAGGTTTAGTGATTTACCGTTAAAGTTCATCAACAATTTCAATTGTTGTTATATTAGAACGAAATCATTAACTATAATAATTATATTATATTATATTGTTTGTTTTTTGATTAAATTAAATAATATATTAATGAATTTAATGAATATAATATAGTCATACAAAAGAAATTGATAGAATAAGATAACTTCTAAAATTTTTTTTTTCAATTCATAAATCAGTTTCACATCAATTTATATCTAATAACGCTATTGAATTAATAACGTTAACCCTCTTTTATATTTTCTTCTATTTTATTTATTTTTTATTTATTTGTTTAATAAAACTGAAGATTTTTATTTATATTTAACGTAATATAAATCAATTCATCAATTAGAAAATACATTTTAACCTATGAATAAACATAA